ACCGATCCAGACACGACCTGCCGCCGGTTGGAGAGCGCATGGGCTACGTGTCAGCGGTGGGCAGTGAGGCACGGGATGGAGTTCGCTCCTGACAAGAGTGAGCTAATGCACTTTACTAGGGCCCGAGAGCCCTTGCCGCAAAGTATTCGCCTTGGGGACGCCACAGTGTCGCCGGTAGTCTCAGCGAGGTTCCTAGGAGTCTGGTTCGACCGCAAACTGACGTGGCACGCCCATGTTGAGCGTGTTAAAACAAAAATGGCAACTCAAAAGCTAGCCCTGACAAAGCTAGTCAATATGTCGTGGGGCTGCGATCTTATACGGGCGAGGCTGTTATATACGGTGGTTATCCGTAGCGCGATCGCCTTCGGGGCGACTGCGTGGCATACTATAAGTGAGGAACCGGCAGGGCCAGCTAAGAGCCTGATGGGGATACAGAACGAGTGCCTCCGGGTAGTCTGTGGCGCCCACAAAGCGACGCCGGTTCGCCACCTGGAAGCAGAAGCAGCAATCCCGCCACTAGACCTCTATCTTAGTGCCCGGGCTGCTAAGTTTGAAGAACGGCTACGGCTTAGCGGGAAGAGAAATCTGCTTCGCAGCACGAGCGCTAAAGCGTCACATATACTCCGGCATGATAGGCCGGCGAAGAGGAAGCAGGCGTCGCAGCTACTCCGACCGGCAGGGTACACTATGGAGAAGGAGGCCCGGGGCTCCGAGTCGATGAGTGAGGAAAAGGAGGTCCCGGCTGCCCTCCTCGGCCACTGGAGGAAGAGATGGCTCACCGGAGCAGAGCATCACGATCGCCAGCGACGCGCTATCGCTGAGGAACCGGAGGGCCCTTCGATGCAGATACCGAAGGGGGCAAGTATTTCGGCCTGAACCGACTGGAGGCGTCTACGTGTGCCAGATCAGGACGGAAAAAATAGGACTAACAGCCTTCTTATTCAAGACAGGGGCTTTTGGCGTGTAATCGCCGCTATGCCGCTGTGGCGACGCCCCTGAGACGGCAGAGCACGTAATCCTCTTTTGCGGGCTGTTGGAAGGACCGAGGGAGCGATTACGGGCCGCTATCGCACCACGGCCACTATACTCTCGCAGCGACCTCGCAACGGCAACAGGAGAATAAGTAGTTAGTGGGACTATTGTAAAGTGGCTGCTAGGGACGGGTCGGACAGCTTCAAGGCCCAGATAGCATCGATCTTCTCAGGGGGGACTTAGTTGGTAGGTTGAGAACCAACGTAGTATGGTAGTGAACGCAACGCAGTCGCCAATAGGGCGAACCGACGACGCAGCGTATGTATTTAGTCCAGCCATTAGGGCACGGTTTGACATACGGGAGTACTAGTAGAGGTACCGGGGGCTTCGAGCCTACGGCGTATTTAATAATAATAATAAATAATATAATATTAAATACGCCGTAGGTGTTAACCCTCGGTACCTCTACAAGTACTCCCTTAAGGGGCTATAGATGATATAGCGGGCCCTTAAGCCGCGTCGGGCGGTTATACAGGTAAACTTGTAGCCAAACGACTACTAAACCTCCTGTCCCTCCCTAAGTCTGTGCTACAACCCTTGCCTGAACTACCGATAAGTGTGGTAATGTGGCACTTAAATTCGTCCTCAGGGGTGGGATGCTGCTGATGTGCAGAAGATGCTCGACTATTTTTTTGTCGCGACAAGTCGTAGTATCTGCTAATTGGGGTTCTCGTCGAGCGTATACATCTCAACCATACGCTCAAGTGGATAGACCGTAACGTGGTCTAGACGCTCGCATGAATCGCGGCGAGTGGGCGTGCTGCGCGCCTTCTATCGTGAGGGGACGGGTTCGCCGACGAGCGTTATCGGATAGGCGAGGTCCGATAAGGGGTCGGATTAACGATCCGAATTCTGGACCGGCTGTCGAGTTATATTCCGCCGACGTAGTGCTTGACGGTCGACTGGCTAGGATGCTCGTAATCCTAAACTGCACCAATCTCCCTATTATCGCTAGGTAGGCGAAGTCAACAAGGTGGGCAGCGCGCCGTAAGGGTTGACTAAACCCCCTTATGTGTCAGCTGCGGGATTCGAACCCGCGACTCGTCACCGACCCAAGTGGGCGAGGCTCAAATCGGGACTTGTTTACCAGCGAAGTGACCAACTACACCAGCCGACATAATAATAATAGATATCCAGTTTGCCGGTGTGTGTATTCCCAGCGAAAAATTGTTCATCTTTCCGCGTACGAAATATTACATGAAACGCCAGATGAGTGAGTACCTGGGAAGGATGCGATCATCTCAATCTTGATAGTTTGTGGCAAATGGAGGTGCCAAGGCTTCCTTGCAATATCCACGAATTTCTATAATCGTAGAAGTATCTTGGAAGCTTATCGAACTGGTGAGCCCATGGGGCCTGACACAAGCGAGATGGTGCATCAAGGGCCCTAAGATAAACTCTCAATACATTTCCTAACAAGCTGTCTAAAATATATTGGTCCAGATCAATAATTTGATGTCTTTGGAGAAAACTGGTATTCAAATAAACAAGATTCTGCACGCTTCATTGAAGAGTACAAACTTCTGAATTAGTGGTAGATACATTTTGTGACGTGAGCAGGACAATTATGCCACGAGAGGCTTCACCGACTAAGTGTATGGTCCCAGACGACGGGTGGGCTTTGTCAAATGTCTTTCGCATGATTTTTTGGCGGTCGATCGCTGCTACATGGTACTATGGCAGTTGTAAAGGCAGTACTCTCACCTATTGAAATCGCTACATAGTCATATAGCCTTTGGACAAGTTCAGCTCAGATTTGAAACTAGTGTGACTGGAGGCCTACTTAGAGGTGGATTCATGTGATGCTCACCAACCCATTCACCGAATATAAAAGTGTTTTGCCAAAGGCGTAAGCGGGGTTCTCCAATACCATTGACTCCTTTCAGCACTTAGTAGGTGTTCATGCATGAGCTCTAGTTCGCGATCAACTGTAGCTTTGTTACAATACAGAGCCTCAGATTTACTGGAAGCATCTGTACTCTGTTGTGTTTTCGTTATATAATTTCTAAGTCGGTTTTTTCGGTGCACTTGCTTCAAGAGCATCCATGACAGGACTTGTAAAGGTTGGTCGTCACAAGAAGAACGATGCTTCGAAGTACTGAGAGTTTCATAGCAGTTTGAAGACGATCAGGAAATAGGCTAGCTCTGGAGAAACCTGGAAGCTAATCTACGTGTAGTGGCATCGACATCATGCAGCTTGCCCGTCGCATGCCGCCATTCGTCACTAAATTAGCCTTGGCTTAGTTGCATCAGATCAGATACGACAGCGGGCGTTGATCTGTTCTGCAAGAATCCGTTCACCACGTCCCACAAATGTATTTTGCCGAACGATGATCGTCAGAATAAGGAATCAGATGTGTCTGTTCTCCGAATGAGATGACTGGCCCCTGCTTTCTCCTGGACCCTTCAGTTATCCATAGCGAACGGACAAGAACCGAGAACCCGAAGCGACAGAGAGTTTCCCTTTTGCCGAGATCTGCTTAATTTTGAGCCACAATCAAGATCATACAAGTATAAACTTGCAATATCAATGCTATCAAATATGGAAATCTGAGTTGGCACCGGTTCTAATGAAAATTTGGAGCTCCCTTAGCATACAAATTCTAGATCCTGGAAGAAGCTGTCTCAAACTCGACTTAACCACAAGGAAGAAGGCGCCGCTTGAGCCTGAAAGATATGCTATAAACATCTTGTTCATCAAACACTTGACTACACTTAAATGAAAAACACGGTCGATAATCAAGCAGCCCAAACAAGCGCCGAGTTCCTGTCTGGATCAGAGGCTCCTCATTACCCCCCCCCCCCCCCCCCCGTCCCTCCACCATCCTCTCCATCGCCGCTTATTCCAGGCGCAACCCAACCAGCGACGCTTGCTGAGGAATCCTGCTTGGATGATACTCATTCGGGGAAGTCCTTTGTGGAAAAAGATAGTCGTATGAAGGAGAGAATCTCAGGAGCGATACATGTTCTCAACACCGAAGCCACATCATTGCACAATCTCACCACGTTATACGAGTCAGACCCGATCATTGGCGCCGGCTTCAACTCGGCTATCGACGCTATCACGAGGCATCGAGGTAGGAAGGGCAAGGTAGTGTTCATCTGTGTTGGCAAATCGGGGCATATCAGCAAGAAGCTAGCAGCAAGCTTCAACAGTCTTGGCGTCAGGGCTGTTTACGTGCACCCAACCGAGGCTCTGCATGGCGATCTGGGCGAGATTGGGCATAATGACACAGTCCTTTTCGTCACATTTTCGGGAAAGACTCCGGAGTTACTCTCACTTCTTCCACACATTGACCCGTGTCTTCTCACAATCGTTCTCACGTCGCACACAAGGTCCGGGACGTGTGAGCTGATCAAACAACGCCCTGGTATGATCCTTCTATCAGCACCAATTCATGAATCAGAAACGTCTCCTTTCGGTGTATCTGCACTAACGACCTCTACGACAATGGCAATTGCGGTTGGTGATGCGCTTGCAATCGTCGCTTCGAAAGAACTTTACGCAATGGTATCCGCCACTTTTTCACACAACCACCCTGGAGGTGCCATCGGCGCAACTTCTCAGAAGCCCTCTCACATAGCCGATCTTGCGATACCACTCCGTGAAATCGACTCGATCTCTTGGCAAAGCATTCTTGGAGTTCGTGGTGTGGATGTAATCAGGGCGGCTTATGACTCAACTACCGGGTGGGTACAAGTTGGCGACCTGATTGCATCACCAAGTCGCGTCAGGTGTCTTGATCCGTCTGATTTTCTCAAACAGCTCTCTGACCTGCCAGGACTGGGAGTCAGTCGTCGAGAATGGATCGTCATGTCAGCCGACACAAGAATATCGCAGGCAAAGGAGTGGGTCAGTCACATGGGATCCTCCCGCAAGGAGAAATGTGGTGGTTACTCCATCGTGGTCGTCATGAAAGGCGACAGTAATTTTGGCGTTCTAGAGGCTGAGCAGCTACTGACTTGGGAGGAGTAACGATTCGGAAATCATGAGAGCATAATTCATCTCTTTCTTTAGACTCGAGCATTTGTAATGTTTCGAAGAAGCGAGTTTATTGTTCGCGGCTCCGAGAGAACGGACGCGCAATGAACGATCACAACTTACTCTATTCTTTATGAGACTGCAAATTTTATTTACTCTGCATGATGTGGCGTTTGCGAGGACACTTGAGAGTTCATCTGATGACGGGCTTTAAACTATGAATGGGGGTTTTCTTTCTTTTTGTATTACACTAAAACCCGTCGACGTCAGCGAGCGTTATATAGAGAGTCACGGGGATTCAATGTAATATGTAAATATACATGATAGGGATATTGTAAAGACAGGTTTGACCAGGCTTTCAGAAACGATACTCTTGACACAAAGCCATTTGTCCACTAGGACGGACGAGCGCCAGTGCTTTGTAAGGGATGTTGCTACTGTAACGGATGGCGAGTATTCGTGAACTCGAATGAGATTTCGTTTAGTCCTACAAAGACAATTTATGAAGAAGTGGCAGAATAGCTGATGCGAGGTGCGGAAGCCAAAATGGTAGCCCACAGCGGTGACAAAAAGGATCGTAAGGTGAATTGCTGTAGGTGCTACGACGGACGAGAAATCGACTGGTAGCCACGGAGATGTCGGTCAAGGCATGGTGGACTAATTCCCCGAAAGTGCTAGATACACTAGTGTTGTTAGCGAAATAGGTGAGGAAATGAATGAAGTGGTTCTTGGTCAAGTGCAAGACTTAAACTGAAAAAGTATGCGAAGAAGAAGTGAACATATTTGAGGACGCCTAAGTATTCATCATAAGTAGGCAGATAAGCCCGCAGGCATCGTATGCAGATATTACATGTACGATTACGACGAGCCAACCCATGAATGTACGCCCCCTTGGTATGGGCGACACATCCCTTTCTAACTTTACGGGCACTCTGCTCTGCACAATCGACACGACAAGGCTGAGCGAGAGCGAAGTGAGCCTGTAGAGCGCCTGAACAACGCGAACAGACGAAGAGAAAGAGATGCAGTCGATGGAAGGGTATAAGGAGTGGAGATACAGAACGTTCACGATGGATTCGAGGAGTCTGTTCTTGAAGTTGACTCCCGGGCCTCGCGGGTATTTCGAGCCTGCTCTATCACCCGCCACTGACGTCGCGCAAACGCTTTGATTTGTGAGAATTTCTCCTCAATCGGATCTTGGTCAGGAAAATATGGTGGTAGAATAGACACTAGCATACTGATTAAGTTATGGCGCGCGATTGCTCGGCATGGCCCAGAGTCATTTAAGTGACGACAGAAGCGAAAGTACAAGATATGCAGCACGTGGTATGGTACATTACCGGAATACATCAAAAGTATATAAAAGTGTACAAAAGTATACAAATGGAATATCCTGGGAAGTGAAAGTAACTCAGTAGGGAAATTCTAGCGTTTCTAGTGGATACGGCGGCATTTCTGTCAATGTGAAAGTCTGGCATTCCCTTACACTGGAGTCTACAGTGTCTATTTAGGTGAGAAGCAACGACACCAGGTATCTGGCCCGAAACAAACAATGAAAAACTGCCCAATGTTGGTGGCTGCGAAGCCGACCGTCGACTATCATGCTCGTGAGTCCTGCTATGTGTCTGCAGCTGATCATGCATCTGACAGCATCTTAGGCCATACACAAGCACATACATCAAAGTCTTTTTTGGCGCCAATGCTAAAGCAATGAAAGTCCCTGCAGCTCTCCTTTAAAGGTGCTCCAATCTACCTGCTGGTAATATCGTTGTGGCAGACAGTCTTCACCTGACCCACATTCCAGAGGAGGTTGGTCATGTCCTTGTCCACCATCTCTTCACCGAAACCTTTCAGTGCTTAGCGCTCGAAGGGTCCACACATCGCGAACAACAGGTAACCGAGCTCATGACGTGCATTCGTGTCTATACGGTTGCATGGGATTATAAGCTCAGCTCCCTCAAGGATCAAGCTCGAAGTGAGATCGAAAGACTAGGAGAATGTTACCCGTGGCTACTCTCTTGGCTGCCTTGAATGAAGTATACCCTAATCCAAGCAAAGATGACATGTGGCTTGGGGACTACTTGAAGGATCGAATGAAGGCGCTCTTTGCTGACCGGGAAGTCGAGAAGAGTATAGAATCACCCCATGCTGGAGCAAAGTCAACTATCGCTGAGCTCGTTTTCCACAACGCTCTGCGTCTGCACGAGGAAAAGCTCGATCGAAACAATGGATTGATTGGTAACTACGCGACGATGACTATCAACATTATTTCGTCTTTACTAACCATGTATTAGACTATGGACCAGTATACTATGAAGACATGCCTGGACCTGGTTCCGAAGTCGAACTCGCATACAACGAGTCCTTACATGAACCTGAACACAAGCATGAGTTCGTTAGTCAAAAGGATTCATCAGAACCTTTATCTGCGTTGGATCCTGAAGAGAATGAATCCATGCTGGAATCTGAACCTGTAGATGGCAATAGGATTGCTGATTCTCCACGGTACGAAACCGTACCCAAACTGTCATACGACGAGAATGCACTGTGTGAGCGTAAACCTTGCCTGGGACCTGCAGGAGGGAGTGATTGAGATAAAACTACCACGAACGATGCTGGTCTTGCCGAAGTCCTAATCACATACGAAGAAGTTTCGGTTGAATCCTCGACGTCGGAGCCTCCCTGGCAAGACAAAACGGAATTCGTCCCCGGTTCAGAAACAGACACAAGCCCTCCTGTCTTCACGCCGCCCTCGTCCACGACGTCGTACATTTCTATTGACCCAGAGAAGGTTCAACGCTTGGGAATTGAAGCAACGCACAAGCAGGAAGCACAACGACCGATCACGAAACCCTCAAGGACAAAAGCGAAGGATTCCAATAGAAGAAGACTTCGGGAAGCACAGGCTTCGCGAAAATCAGAAGAGCTCGATGTCGTTTGTGAGTTAATGAGTTAACACTTGAAAATAGGAGGAGAATGGAGGGAATGTGAGTGTTGCCGAGAACTTGTGGACGGCTTAGCAGCCGAACTTTAATATAATTTCTTAATACACGGGAAATTATCACTAAATGGGCAGTCACCGCTGTATTCACGATTGCGGCTAGGCCCGTGAACGGCAACACAAATCATCGTCGTTGAGTATGAAGCACAAAAGAAGTAGCGCCAGAGAATGTGGTGGTTGTTTTGACAAACTTGATCTCCTTGCGAAACGCGATTTAACTGACAGTGGTAGCCGCATTCTCGCGCCTTCCGAAGACGCCCTTGCAAAATCGGTTTGCCTTGACGAGTTCTTTGGGCAATACTTAATCGTTTGGAGAGGCTGTTCGCTGCAAGGTGGAAGGCTATTTCAAAACCATCATCGCAATTGATCCAGGATCAGAAGCACACTATTCGTGCTGAATGGCATCACGGGACAAATCTGCCTTTTATATATAGCTTTTGAGCCACATCCAGCTCTAGCTCCGTATGTGAGCGTTGCACTTCCAATATCATTAAGACAATTGTCTACCGTGTCATTTTCGGTATCTACTCAAGTGTATCCTGCCCTTGGACGGGAATCAGAGATAATCTCCACGAGTAATATATCATGCACAATAATATACTGTACTTGTTTGGGGCGGATCATAACTAGAGACCCGGTGGAAAGGCGTTGGACTAGCGTAGTGGAATACGGCTATACGATCCACATCGGCCAGGTTGACTACTTAGTCATCTGTTGCCGTTGCTCTGGCACATGGCCAAGATACACAGGCACTACTGAGTCCACGGTCTACATAGTAGTACAAGTCCATTTTTCAAGTTCCCGTCCTGACTCCGACTTGAGCCCATACTCAAAGACTAAACCATTCCCGCCCCAGTTCATTTCTCTTTCATGACATACCTGTATGATACTGTTAGTAATAAGTGACCAGCATTTTCTGCTTGAAGTTGAATCCTCCAAGTGTTCAGAGTCCTATCCTCGGCGACTGAAGCGCGACCTCCACGTTTGGTTTCCATTTTTCATCATCACGGTGCGTCTTTCCGCCCAGGAGAAACGAAATGCTTCCTCTCCTGTTTCGTGTAAAGTCAAGTAGGTCTTTGCGATAGCTTGTCCATTTTCTGCAGTGCAAAACGAAATGCTCTACCGTCTTTTTCAAATATCCACAATCGCATTCTGGCGAAGCGACCGCGCCGATCTGGGCCAGGTAGTAGTTGAGCCTCGCCATTCCTGTCCTCAACTGGACCAGAACGCCTGTCTCCTTCCCTGACAGTGCGTCATACAATAGTCGCGTATGTCGTCCAGGCAATGCTGTGTCAATGCGTCTCGAGAATGCGCCGATATTATCAAGCAGTGCTTCTGGTCTGCTGAGTTTCTTCCTGGCGTTGTTCAGCGTGGTCGACTTGGCTCGAAATGGCGGCGCATGGGGTGAACTGCCTGGGAGAGTCGCTTTGCGAGCTGCTCCTTTGGCTAGCTGCTGTAGACCCAAAATCGCGTGGTCCGCACTTTGGTCGGTGTTGAGGTTGGCATCTCTGTTGTATTCTTGACATCCTGCATGTTCGTGCGCCTTCTGAACGATGACGACCTTGTTTCTCTTTGTTCCGAGCTGGGCCACAGACACGTAAAAATTTGCGATCTCTCTGTGACCCGATTGTTGTCTCAGTCGCTTATTACTCAACGCAGCGCCATTGTTGCTAGTACACAATATGACCACTCGCAATGTACCTGAAGTACTGAGGCACTTTTCGTAGGCCTTGTGCCGTTGCGGCCAGTTCTGGCCCTTGGTTTGTGTAGCAAGGCAGACGTGTGGCACTGCGAGTGAACAAGGGAATTCAGACTCCATTGAAAGAAAGTGCTATTGTACAGTATACTGTGAGTCAGAATAACTTCATTCATCGCGTAGCTCGTATCCTACCAAAGTATGCTACATCACTCGGGTAACTCAACCGTCCAAAAAACCCGCCCAGATTTTGTGCTTCGCCAATAAAAGTATGGACTAACATTGTCAATGTCCACCGCATTCCATTCTTTACGACATGTCTTGATCTCCTGATTCAGTTGATTCCGGAAACATATCTGTTTCTTATGTATATAGGCATTCACTTAAGAAGACTGATTGGCCTCCGGTTTAGCTCTTTCGGGCTCAATAAATGATTCGCCTTTTGTGCTTTGCGTCATTCCGTTGTATGGACGGCGGGCTTGATGCTTGTCTGGATCGCTTGGATCGTAATAGTTCTGTGCTGACACTGGACGTGAAGCTTGTTGTAAAGCTCATAGAGGGGTCTTCGTCGTCAGCCAATGGTGCTTGACTTGGATCGAAAGTTGCGTCTTCGGTGAGATATCGTGCTTCTGTTATGTATCACACTGTGTTGGAATGCTGTGACAGCTCAATTCCACGTTCAGCCGTTTCCTCGAAATCCACGAATTCATCGTAAATTGAGTCATTGTCCTGCTCCGCCTATTCGTTGCTAACTGCTTCTGGGAGAGCCACGAGAGGCAAACCACGAGCTCGAGCCTTAGCGTTGACCTCCTCTATAAACTGATCGCGGTATTCTTGAGCCATGATTTTAGTGTTCCCGAATGCACCAGCACCTTTCGCAAATGATTCGGGGCCACTCGTCACGGCATAAGCTTCTATTTGGTTCATGTGATACTCTGGTTGTCCTCCTATGACCAGTGGCGCCTTCATGTGGTGCGCATCGATCGCCAGCGTGCCTGTCTCAGCATGGTAGGTCGACCTTGAAGCTGTATGCTGTATGCTACTAAGTTACTATTTTCAGGGTCAAGACGTCAATCGTGTTTACCTATTTGCTGTGTCCGTTCGAAAAGAATATTACATGAGGGCACTGCTAACCCGATCGGGACTAGCTACCGCTAGTTTTCATTTAGTCAATGACTTTGTGGGTTCTTATTCTTTCCCTTCCAACGCTGATGATGCAAAACTTCGGATCAAAGGATAAGCTGGTGCTGCACGGCTTGTTCGGAATCGGCATATTTGCCACATCAGTGTTCTCGATGTGGGTTCTTCCGGTCAAATCGAATCCGAAAATTGGCAGGTTTCTTCGATCTAATCATAACTTGGTGAGCTCAAGCGAATCCGAAATAAGTGGGGTGTGGCACGGGTACTAGGTTAATCTTTGGTTGATGATTGGAAATAATTGTGCACCGTATGCGCAAGTGATCCCGCGCTGGGACGGCTATTCAGCCACGACGGCTATTCGGAATTCTTAGAAGCAAGGAGCGCTGCCAACCGCGAAAGAATAGGAAACTTTTATTATGAAATTGGACGAGAATCCGGGTAATACCCACTCGGCGCGTTTCGGCAAAGTAGGCGGTCCGAGTACTCGCCTTTGAAGTGACGGAAGTGACGGAAAACACTAGGGATGAAGGATCTAGCCGCCAAATTGACTTTGGTAGTGGATCTGCTGCTAAATCACGTCTGGCTGTCCCTTATCATCCCGATGGCCAATGCCAGGGTCAGATGTTAATATGCCTGCACCTAGTCCCACTAGATGATTACTATACATTTCCAGTCGGCTGGTGTAGTTGGTCACTTCGCTGGTAGATAAGTCCCGATTTGAGCCTCGCCCACTTGGGTCGGTGACGAGTCGCGGGTTCGAATCCCGCAGCTGACACACAAGGGGGTTTAGTCAATCCTTACGGCGCGCTGCCCACCTTGTTGACTTCGCCTACCTAGCGATAATAGGGAGATTGGTGCAGTTTAGGATTACGAGCATCCTAGCCAGTCGACCGTCAAGCACTACGTCGGCGGAAAATAACTCGACAGCCGGTCCAGAATTCGAATCGTTAATCCGACCCCTTATCGGACCCCCTCTCGCCGCGATTCTTGCGAGCGTCTAGACCACGTTACGGTCTATCCACTTGAGCGTATGGCTGAGATGTATATGCTCGACGAGAACCCCAATTAGCAGATACTACGACTTGTCGCGACAAAAAATAGTCGAGCATCTTCTGCACATCAGCAGCATCCCACCCCTGAGGACGAATTTAAGTGCCACATTACCACACTTATCGGTAGTTCAGGCAGGGGTTGTAGCACAGACTTAGGGAGGGACAGGAGGTTTAGTAGTCGTTTGGCTACAAGTTTACCTGTATAACCGCCCGACGCGGCTTAAGGGCCCGCTATATCATCTATAGCCCCTTAAGGGAGTACTTGTAGAGGTACCGAGGGTTAACACCTACGGCGTATTTAATATTATTATTTATATATATTATCGTTAACCGCATCCAAGGCGGATACTTGAAGTTCAATACAGTGATCTAAGGGTTGACCTGGCTCTCGTTACGCTTATCTGTTCTATTGGTCCTAAGTCCCAAATGCTCTAGTGAGATGTTCACAAGAGCGTTGAAGCCGGGCGGGCCGATGCAATAGAACAGGGTTTTGCCAAGGGATGTTGAGGGATACACAATAGAAATGAAGTGTATTCTGGTGAGGAAAGAAAGCTAGGCTAGTGTTGTTGTTCTGGAACTAAGTAGTGGTGGTGGCTGCGCAGGTACCACCTCTGACAAGGGATGGCCTATGTGTGGATCCAAATCAGAGGATCTGATTGGCTACATCGTTGCTCTTAAGCAACATTTCGTAGCTTCGGAAATAGCTGAGCTTTCTAGAAAAAAGACCATCAAAAGAGATCTGAACCACACAACTGACTTGGCACGAAATCAATCCTGATATTCGTGACTTGAGTCCTGTGAGGTCAGATCGACCAGGATACACATATGTAAAGGTGCGCGATACATCACTGTCCCGTCATTGATCGCAAAGCAGTTCTTCTGATAGTTCCAGTACTTCCGCTTTATAAAAGACCCATATGGCACAAGCAACCATAAAACAAGGTTTTTTCAATGTCAAGGCAATGTCCATTTCACTTCCCCGATGCACATCTCTACAGCAAACTCAGCTGCCTCATGGCAGTCATAATCAATTAGAAACGCAATCTCCGTGAACATTTCCCAAGTTACTGATTTAAGAACTTTGAATGGAATCGTGAACCAGCCATAAGCATGCCATTACTCTACTTTGATTAAATGCTTGTGGTATGATCGACTGATACTTTCCTGCCAGCCGTTCATTCTTCTCTCGAAGCCTGGGGGAGCCATACCATAGCACCTTGAGGAAAGGTTAAAAACTATCTCTTGCTGTTTACCGGGTTGCTTTTACTGGAGGCGAGCTTATCGATGTTAATTGGCTTACTGCAACAGCCCACTAGATTCCGCAGTTCGTATTCGGTCGTGCAGGTGAGTCAGCACCCCGGTGCTATCATCCTCGCTTGTGTCCGACAGGTGAACAGCAAGACTGGATTTAGAATGGGTCCTTTACGACCATGCTCGATGAAGGGTTCAGTCGCAGAATGCGTCGATGCTTGTGAGTCCGACTCGAAGAGTACAGTCGAGGTGGGTTATCCTAATGCTAAGCAGCATCAGCTTTTAGTTTACTCCAAGTGGCCAGGACAGTATACTAACCATTGTCCCGCGACTCCCTTTATCATTTCCTTCCTTTTCTACTCCCTATTCTTCAATGAATTTTCGCCGAAACCGAATTGCTGGACTTTACAGTAGTGTCGCCTACACATGTCCTCCAGCAATGAGAGCTACGCTCGTCCTTCCCGGTGAAGACTGCAAATGTTGTGTTCGGATTTCGAGTTGAGATATTTGCACCACTTGAGGTCTTTTGGGATAAGAGCTAACAACGTTTTGCGTAACCAAGTGATGATATTTGTCGAACAAAGAATCTTTATTAAGATGGACTCATCAGTCCTTAATATATTTAGCTTTCTGCTTAATTGAAGGGGAGGTCTGCTATTGTTCAACTGCCCTTCAAGCCTGTTCGTCGCTGAATTTGCGAGCCCTTACTCGGCGACAAATCGGCGACGTAAGGCGAATTCCCCGCCCCTCAGGTCCCGCTGTGTTTCATCGGCTCGGCGACTTTTTGAAGAAAAAAAAACGCATCGGAACGTTCTCGCTGCAGTAACTTTTGCTGAACTGGATGCCGGTTATTTTTTACCGTCCATTGTCAGTAATAACACGTGCTTCGCTCCCTTTCCGTCGTTCATTACACACTCTGGGTTTCCTCGTTTATGCTAAATATGCCAAATATTATTCAGTTATTATGTATCAATACTTAGTATATTCTCTGGTAAGGCCGGCTGCTGGGACTTATATTTAATCCTGTTTACCTTAGTAACACTGTCTTGTTAGCAAGAATTAGAAGGATAATAAAGAAGTTTAACTACTAATGTCCCTGCTTTTCTACTCTCTGATAACATTGAATCTACTTGTGATAAAATCTGATATTTCTCACATATCACTATAAGCTGATCATATCACACAATACTTCTATACTAGTTTGTAAATTAAGTGCTTCAGCAATAGTACATACTGTAAAACTCCCGGATTCCTCCCTAATTCCCCTGAGAGCAGGTGGAGACGTTATAGCAATAGATTTTTGGGGCAGGGGGGTGGGGGGGGGTTTGGCTTTGTAATAAGGCAGCAATAGTTAAGTATGTGTAAGCTACTATGTAATTACTATCACATTGTCAGGGTACGGCTAGGCCGAAGGCAATAGTACAGAGTGATGGGGAGTAACGGGCGTCCCTCCTACGTAGCACCGGGTGGTCACTGGCGGTCTCAGGTAGGGGTGCCCACGATGATGCATTGATCTCTACTCTCTCTATCTTCTTCCCGGGCCTCCGCCCCTTACATAGATAGCTAGAACCCGGCGTCGGAGCCACGGAGCACTAGTTTCTCCGATTGTTCCGCAAACCAAGACTTCCATATCGTGTCATGACTTGCACGTCCCTACACCAGAGCCCCACCGGTGTCCCACCGGTGCCTATTGTAAGGGTCAAGGGTAATGTCGATGCAATTAGCCTAGCCTACTCTGAGTACTATCCATCTATGAAGAGAAAATCATTAAATATATTCAGTGTGGTTGTCAGAGAACAGAATGCCATAGGCACCAGTGGGTGTCAGGACACTGAACGCAGGACACCGGCGGGCCGCCGGAGGGGTGTTTCGGACAAAAGACTCCCGAATCATGATTACAATCTATGTGAAGCTTTGGGATGACGAGAGTCAAGATCCTTGGCATCGCCGACCCTGCTGTTATGCCGGGTCCAAGCGGCGGCCTAGCTATCTATATAAGGACCATCTCGAAGTAGGATAGGGAAGGAGTTGTCAGAGCCACAAGTGTCATCCGAGGCGGGCCGGCTTCCACCAGGTAGGAAGCCGTTTGTGGCGGCTAGAGAGCCGCTTGTGGCGAATGAGAGCCGTTGAAGCCGTTTGCAGCGGATAGGGAATCGCTTGGTTGCAGATAAGGAGCCGCTGTCCAAGATATTGGCCGAAGTCGGAGGAACACAGACATACGGAAGCAAACATCCAGAATCCAAGAGAGAACCTCGGCTGGCTATAAGTAAGGAGTCGAGACGGAGGAAGATAGAGAGGGCAGAGATCAATGCATCACCGTGGGCACCCCTACCTGAGACCGCCAGTGACCACCCGGTGCTACGTAGGAGGGACGCCCGTTACTCCCCATCACTCTGTACTATTGCCTTCGGCCTAGCCGTACCCTGACAGTGGTGAACCCTTCTCCCTTTTATCCTTCTGTCCTCCCGTCTCGTCGTTTCAGGAATCTTCGAGGAGTGAAGCTTATTCGGAGATTTCCGTGGGTCCAAGTGCTGTCGAGAATCTTCTGTGGATCTTTCTGGCCGAAGGCGTCGCAGAGGCCACATACCGGTCATAGACCGTGACAATTATC